ATTTAATATTTCACGCTTGACACTGAGCGGCGGGTTTCAGAATCAGAGAGGAGTTCCCGTCTGCAAACGAGAAACTTTTGAAGTTGAAACGAAGTGGATACGTTCAGTTCAATTACGTATGTGGGTCACGTTTATAGAGAGGTCAGCCAAACGGAGGTAAACTTTCGCAATAGCCCTTAGGTATCTCATACATACGAAGAAGCAATTATCCCCAAGAGTTTCTAAATACAAACACAAAGATAACAGAACAAAGAATGTCTATTTATAATAATATTATCGTAATCATATTAATGATAAAATGAAATGAAAAACTTGATTTTTATAATTAACGCGTTTCATTACATTGTCTATCATATTCAACATTTATGTTTGTACGCGGAGCAAAATTAATTAAATTAACATGAATGAAATAATAACAATATACTTAATTTACAATTCCAATTTTCATTGATTGCTATAATATATGTATATGTTATACGTGTGTAATTTATATATGTATTATCCACAAATACATTTTTAATATTATAAAAACATTAATTATTAATATATCAATATTTATATTTAAGTATTAATATCTGAAGTAACAGTATAATAAAAAATGTATTATAACGTAAATAAATTTTGTATGTGATTATCTTTTTACATACTTATCACTTATTTTGCAATATATAGTGATAAGATCTGCATTAAGTGCAATAGCTACCAGCTCTGCAGCAATTTAAATTACTTGATAATCTTTATTAATACACTTTTACTATTCTCTATAAATTTATCAAATTTTACCCTTTTTTCTTTAAGAAAATTTAATTTAGTTTTTTTTAATTCCAATATCTCTCATTCAAACTTGATAATATAATTATAATTCGTATAACTCAAAATTAAATGCCATCAATTCCTCTTAACTACTGCATCATCAAAGATCAAACGATAGAAATAATCAATAAAGTTAATAGCGTTAGAAACACGTATATTTAACGCAACTGTACAGGCTAAGTAGTGGGAAGTGAGGTTTCATAAAAAAAAAGAAACGTACGGATGCACGTAGAAATAATGAGTGATTCCAAAAGGGGTTGCTCAGTGTCGTTCGACCACGTAATGAAATTCGGCAAAGTGACCACGCGTCGCGACGCGCCCATAAATGGCGCGGGCGGTGGTCCGTATAGCCAACCCCACCACGGTGTGATGGTCGAGACCAACGGGGGGCTTTTCCAAAAATAGAATGACGACGAGGGACGTCCCGACGTCTTCGTCGTCGTCGTCGTCGTCGTCGTCGTCGTCGTTGATAGGAGACGAGCAACGATGTTCGATTCCGACGTCGCGATGTTCGTTCGCGGTGCAAGACGCATTTCGACATGTCATGTTTCGTGCAGTAATGGACTTGAATGCAACAATTGTGCAGTGATACAATTGTTTTTTTTTTTTTTGGGAGTTGATTACTTAAAATCTTTATTTAAATTCGCGAAGTGCTGAAACAAAAGTGCGTTCACTATTGTCAAATTTGTCTGTTCAAAATTTATTAATAATATTGTTAATAATTAATTTCATCATTAAATAATATGATTGAATAATATAATTAAACATATAATATTGCTATACATTGAGAAAAAGTATACTTTTAGTATACTTTTCTGAAATATTTGTAATCTCACTTCTAAAGATAATTTAGAAAGAATAAAATTTGAAAAAAATAGAAAAATATGGCAGAAATTAATAAATTTTTTATTTACAATAACACACTTTTTCATTTCTCATTTTTTATGATTACTTTAAACTTCTCGTATATTTAATTTTCCAAGAATCAGTTTTTTTCATCTCAATTTTACTTTTACAATAACAATAATGATAAAGTATATTCATTGCATTGTATCTACTATTTTATTAAAATATTAAATGTTTTACTTATTTAAACATCTTATTTGCTCGTCTCTTAGTCGTTTTAATTAATATTTTCTGCTTAATAAGATATATTCTTTTTTGCATTAATAATACCACGTTCTTTTTTCTGTTCTTCTTTCAAGGATCCATTTGAATTAGTTTCCGTTCCTACTGCGCGAGTATCGCGATTCATAGCTTCAAGTACACACGCGAAAATCAATTTACGAACTAATCTATTAGCACACCCACGAAAGTTCACACTGCGGTAGACATCAAAGATATTTACACCTACGCACGCCGAGTCGATCGCACTTTTGCAAAAATCGCCGCGGGTTAACGCTAATGCACGTGGCGGGATCGGAGGCAAGACTATTTATAATTCAGACACATCGTCCGAGCACACGCAGTAGTACCAGAAATAACAAATCCGAAGTCGTAGGTCATGCGAATAAGACATAAGGAGATGACACCTATTCTGGTAATTGCTGATCGATGTATTTGATTTTAATATCCTCATACAAAGTAAATATTTAACTTTAATTAAGGAAAGTAAAACGATACATATATAAAAATTTATAATTAATTTCAAAATACTCAATAATTGGTAATATGACAACAGCGACAAAATTTACATATAATATCAATCAGATTTTTGAAAAAAATCTATATTGTCTCCTAAAAAAATTTCTAGAAAATTATTTTATTTTCAAGTATGTATCCGAACATGTAAAGATTTTACTTGGAACATTTAGTAAAAAAAACACATCTATTATATTATCTTTAACATCTTTTATTCGAGATAAGTTTATTGTAAAATGAGAAATGAACTATTTCTTGAGAAGATTTTTTTTTTTAAACCCTACAACAAGACAAAGCAATATCTTTCATTTTTTGTAATATGTGGACAAATAGAGTTTATATCAAATAAAACATTCTAATGTAATTTTTAACGTAATTTGTACTTAATTTTCAAAAATCGAACGTAATTTTTTAATTAATCCAATTTCATGGAACAATTTCCTCCTATTGACTGATCAAAACAACGTTATAAGGAGAGAGCTCGAGTATAATTGATTCGTGTAGGAGGAGACAGCACTGTTTTCGCTAGCACTGAAAAAATATAGCACCGGAAGAGGTTGGGCGGCTAAGAAAGTTCCTGCTGTCTGTCCGGTCGCACATAGGGCAATTGTGATGTCGACCAATTAAACAACGACCCACGCCTGATTTTTCTTTTCGCGCTGGTCCAGCCTCTTCCGCATCGATAACATCTTCGTCATCCCATCCCCGAATCATTCAGCACTTCGCCGCTGTTGCGTATATTTAACACTTCATTGCATGTAATACACGTACACTATTAAATTCATAATAACAAATTATATTCAATTTGAGTTATTTTTCATCAATTCTATAGATTGCCACTGCTCTTGTTCAATATGTCAATATTGTTAATTTCACTGAAACAATAGAGTCAAACAATTTAACACAAGAAAATGTATTAAATTTGACCCAAATTTAGTTCATTACTCTCTAAATCTGAATCAGTATAATCAGGATAATCACTGATTTCAGTGCCAAGTATGTCACTGATAGTCAGTGAATTAAATGTAAGATCCCTAACCTAGCTAATCTTTATTATGTGATCTAATTAACCTTGTTTTAGTGCTTAAATTTAATGTATATGGTATTGAAAGATTGAAATTAACATGCAAATATCATTTTAATTATATAATACTCAAATATTCTTCCTTTCTTAGTTGAACTTCACTGATTCAAAGTATGCCACTAATTAATGATTGATTTAGAGAGTATTTCTTAATCCACTGATTTAGAGAGTATTTTTTAATGTATACATTAATGTGGATATTGATATATTTTATGGTAAAACTAACAACAGAAATTAATTGATTTGCATTTTGACACATGTAGAAGTTAAAAATAACAAAATGTTATAACTCAAGAGAGTAGACTGCCATTAAACTTTTGATATCTAACAGTGTATATATGTGTTGCGAAAGCATCAGAAAGCAACAAAAAATTCAGATAACATCATTTGACATGTGGGGTATCGACTGAAATTTTATAGTACCCAGAATTCATCCCAACACGCCTCGTGTCGCTTGAGTCATACTTGTACGAGATAAAAAAAAAGCATATGCGCACATGCATCAAACCAGATGTATTTTGAAGATCAATCATAGTCTGTACATCAATCATAGTCAATCTCAACACAGACAATTTATACCCGTAAAATATTTGCTTTATTTTCGTTTAAAACCTTGATCAACCAAACTTTTTTCTGAAAATACGAACAGAACATCCAAGAACGCTCATCTTTAAGAATAAGTTCAATTTAGATTCAATTTTTCTTTGTTCACTCTTTCTTTAATTATTTTATCTATTTCGAGCGACGAATGTACAGATTCACGATAAATATTATTTTAATCGCGTGAGAATAATTCCATGAAAAATCTTGCTACCCTGTGTATGTTTAGAGTTCTCTATACGACGTATCTTCCGTGATCGAGAATTTTGGGTTATCTATTGTTCATATAATTACATCAACATTATCTATTAGCTACGATTGTTAAACCTGACAATGACCCTTCTTTTCCAATCACACAATTAGCGTAGCTGACGGAATATCGGATATCGATGAAATACCGCAAGAACCGATCACGACTTGTTATACTGTACTATTTCTGTACTGTTTAAATAAATACGTTAACAATAACGTAGCTGAAAGGGGGACAATGCACCATATATCTTTTTTTATATCTAATAATTGGCCAAGAATATTTAATTTGAATCTTTCATCGCTTCTCTATCTCAAAAGTGTTTATAGAAAAATAATAGTTTCTTGTAAAGCAATGCAAATTATCATTATTAGTATCAATAATAAATAAATTAAAACTCTTCTGATAGTATACATTCTTAAAGTTAATGTTATTCTTTATATTCTTAAGTAACTTCGCACAGAGGCCGACTTAACATTAAAAATGCACTCTGACACAGTATTAAACAGCCGTTATATAAAACATAAAAAAACGTTTAAGAGCCGCTATTTTTTTGCTCCATTCTTACATCGCTGCGAAACCAGTTTCGTTTTATCAAAGATGCAGACTTACCACATGGCTTGAACGGACACTGGCTTGAAGATGTGTTGACGGCCACAAACGCTGACCTTGAAACCCCTGAAAGATAAAATCCGGAAGTGAGACCGCGATGACCTTTAAGAACCATGATGAATCAGATAACGTTATACGTAATACTTTTTTATTAAAAGATTATTTAACCAATGAGAGAAAATATTATTGTTTTAAGACTCTTTTACTATGTAAATTATTTAATTCGCAAAGAATATAGAATACAAAGTAGTCTGGAATTCTAGGATCATATTAAAGCTTTAATATTTATGTTTTCAGATAACAATAAACATAATTCAAAGGATTTTAAAATAGAAGACATAGTTTTATATATATATTTTTAGCAAAATAATGTCTTACATAATTTCTACTGTGTAAATTCATTAGAGCACAATTAATAAAAACATTTTTACATTTTTATCACGGAAAAAAGTTAAAATTTTAATTTAAAAAGCATTCCTAGATTTAATTGTTTGATTTGCTTTCATCTCTAAAAATCTGTAAAAATTTGTTATAATGTATACTTGTTATCTTAAATAAATATTATAATTTTTGTTATGTTACAAATCTATTATTTTTTTTTCCTCATACGAAAAGTAGAGAATGTTTTTATCAAAGTAAAGTAGTTCAAAATAATTTTCTTTATTTTTTTCTTATTTTTCGAAATTATACATGCTGCATAAATTGTCTGCATAGACTGGCTACAGTCGTAAGTACAATATATAAATTATGAAATAATATCAGATTTCAGTTTCAAGAAACTTCAATTATTTTTTCGATATTTTTGATTACATTATCAGTGTAACAAATGATTATTTTCGTAATCATTTACTTTTAAATGTTAAACCGTTTCGTATGTAAACGATTATCTTCTCTCTCTCCCCTATTTAAATGCTAAATTATTATAGTAGCACAAAGAATGGTTCGAGCATCATATGCACTTTAACTGGAATTTTTCTACAAAGACACTTCATTATAATTATTCAAAATTGCAGAGCTTTTTGAGGTCACTTCTATATTAACTCCAATTTTATTTTTATTAACTTTTCATCAGAGAATTAATATTCCGTTCGTGACACCGCGAAATCGACGCGTTTTCGACGTTACATAAATAATATTGATTTAACAGGATGAATGATCAAACTCACGATTTTGCTATTTCAAGCGGACAATTGTCGTTACGCTAGCAAGCGAAGCGACGATGCTTCAAAACTGCAACGGTAATGCAATTCTCGCTATTACGACACGAGAAAGGGTGCGCGTTCACCGCACTGCCATTAATTACGCATTATGTAAAGCAGATAGCATTGCGCGAATCGCGAATCGCTGCCGTAATACGCGCCGGCTAGATTTCCGGGAAATTCTTACTGATTCCACGATCGTCTTTTCCAGAAAGGAACGGTACTCACGTCAAACTTCGTTTCACATACGCGGCACGGCCGTGCTATTCGAAGCACATCGCTTTCCCTCATTCGTAAATATTAGAAGCAAGATCAGATTTAATAACACGCTTTGGTTAACATCAATGTTTTTTTATTTGCAGGCGATAAAAAGTAATGGGCTTACAAAAATTTTGAACAAGCTTATTTTACATCTATTTTCAGTTACATATGATTAAATTAGTGTCAAATTATATAATTTGAGTTATTTAATCATTTCTATGAGTCGCTACTACTGCTCCTATTTAATATATCGCTAATTTAACTAAAACAATGGAGTTAAACAACTTAACTCAAGAAAATGTATTACATTTAATTCAATTTTAGTTTATTATTTACTAAGTGCATAATATGGACGATACCTTAATATGAATGATATTGTTTACTTTGAAAATAATCACAAAAATGGGTTGATTTATATTTTGATATACATAGACGTTAAACATAATAAAGTTATTTAATTCAAAGTATTGATATACTTTTGGTATCTATTGACGTTTACTATTCCTTGATATTTAATAGTGTAAAAACTACAACAATGTTAAAATGAAATTAATTCATAAAAGTTTTTCCTGTAATTTTCTTTTCAAACGTTTTGTATTTGTTTCTTTCAATTTAATAAATCAATTAATATTATTTTCTCAGACAAATATTGCTCTTAAAATTTATGAGAATTACGATAGGGACATTTAGGCATACATAAAATAAAGCGCAATAAAGCGATATCGAAATTTACACCTTACGCAATCAAGATATTCGCGGCAGGTTGCAGTTACGTGGACAAACAAAAAAACAATGTCGAGCGTCGCTACGAGCGATTACCAAATGCAATCGCGAACAGTTACGCAAAGGTGCCTCGCGGGTAGGAATTTGGGCGTGTTGCATGTACCTTGAGGATTATTCGCGTAGTGATCTCTTACTCTCAAAGAAACACAAAAAACGAACGAAAAAAATGCAATTTTCAGTCCTCCGCCCCCTCCGACGAAATTACTCGTTTCGCACCGTTATCGTCCAGATCGTAAAACGATGGACGTTCTCCTTCTTCTGCTTTCAGATCATAATTCGCCTCTCTCGCCGATTACAGTTACCCTCTAGTCTGCGAACGAATTTTATTTATTTATTTAGCTGACCCTTCATGCTTCTTCGAGATACGCATAGATATTAAGTTCTCGATTTTCGAACCGCCCAATGCAGTTAAACAGAGTAGAATTTCTTACAGAGAATTGATTACATTCTTAGATATATTCCATACACTCTAAGTTCTTTGGAGTGATATTCTAAAGAATGAAAATTGAGTCAGTCTTGAAAGAGTGACTCAATCTTCAATCTTTAAGCGTAAGCTTTCATTCTTCAGTTAGAGTAACAATTCATTCTAAAAATTTTAGAGAGTACATATACGCAACGGTCCATGCAACATTAAAACATTTATAATGTTTTAATAATAATATCACAATTCAGAATTCTTACATTATAACTACAAACAAATTTACTTGGATACTTATATATGATGATGAATTATATCAAGAAGAAAAAATAATAAAGCAATCCATTGTAATTTCTTCGAAGAATAAACTTGACGTTTTGTACAAAGTTTTATTAAGTTTTAATATGAAAAATTATTTTGAGAACAATTTAAAAATTGTTTAATTATCTACATAAGATATGTCATTAAATAAAAATAGAACTCAAAATAACGTAAAATACTCAAATACATTTTTATTATTTTTATTATATATCAAAAACTCTAAAATAAAAGTGAAGCTTTGAAAATTGTTAAAAGAATATTGTACGTTTCGTAATGTGTTTAAGTAGTAATAAACGCTGCAATTTATAAACTCCCGAAGTTCATTTTTATTTAAAGCCTATGTGTTCTTTGTTTCCTATTTTTTGTTTTTTATTTCTTTTTCTTTCTTTGCGACCGTTTTTTGACGCGTTTCTTTTCACATGTTTTTTATCTCTTTCAAAGTTCGTCAACTTTTATCTCAGGCAACAAAAAAGTGTAAAAAGCAAGAAACAGGAAACAAAGAGCACATTGTTTTAGATTAGGCTTAAAGATTTTATACACTACGCAGTCTAAAAAGTAAATCTTTTCATAATTACAATTTAAGAATTCTGTGTGAGTTATGACATTTATTATTTAAACATTATGAAACGTACAACAATTCTTTAACAATTTTCAAAACTTCATTTTTATTTTAATATATTAATGACAAATGAAGCTACAAATTGAAGATTAGCAAATAAAACTGAAGAAGAAACAGCCTTTCTTATATTCGAAGCAAGCGTACGTAAAATTTATAGAAGACAATGGATCAACGATTAAACAATCAGCCTAATCAATGCATAGCCTCAATCACATTCATTAGAATTAACTCTATCACAATGCCAATGTAAATTAAGTTTGCAAATATTTGCTCTTTAAATCTAAATCAGTGAACATCATTAATTATCCGGTAGCATACTTGGCACTAATAATCAGTGAAGTTCAATTAAAAAAGAAAGAATGTTTAAGCATTATAAAACTAAAATACTGATATTTGCATGTTAATTTCAATCTTCCAATATCATATTCATTTAAGCATAAAACGGAGTTAAATCACATAATAAAGATTAGGTTAGGAATCTACCTCTGTTAAGCTAGCCCCACCTGCATAAATGAGTTCTAATATTAAGTGCTAATTAGATGCTAATTAAATGCTGAAGTCCGAAATTAGGTGCTCGAACCGTTTGGCAGAAAAAAACATTATTGTGGGCTAGCTTAATATTAAGTTAGCTCCCCCAATAAAAAAAAATAAATAATTATTGCGTAAACAAACAAAACAAATACATCAGAATTAGATACTAATTAGGTGCTCCAATGCAAAAAATGACTAAATTAATTCGAAAATATATACAGAATTATATACAGAAATTAGACGTCAGTCGAACAGTTGGTCCACAAGAGAGAAATTGCCTTAAAAAATTAGGTGTTCAGACAAATTTGATGTTAAAATGTTGTTTTTTAATATTTATTTAAAGATTTCTAGTTGCCGAATTTGTCTGAGCACCTAATTTTTTAAGGCAACTTCTCTCTTCTCAGGTGACTGCGTCTAATTCGACGATTAGATATCCTTAAATAATATTAAAAAATAAACATTTTAACACCAAATTTGTCTGAACATCTAATTTTTTAAGGCAACTTCTCTCTTGTAGGCCGACTATTCGACTGACGCCTAATTTCTGTATATAATTCTGTATATAATACATATTTTCGAATTAATTTGATCGTTTTTTGGAGCACTTAATTCTGATGTATTTGTTTTGTTTGTTTACGCAATAATTATTTTTTTTTATTGGGAGGGGGAGGGCTAACTTATTATTAAGCTAGCCGCTTCCCCTCCCCGTAATAATTTTTTTTTCTGCCAAATAGTTCGAGCACCTAATTTCGGACTTCAGCATCTAATTAGCACCTAATTAGCACCTAATATTGATATGTATTAGAATTCATTTATCGCTGGTAGGGGGGGGGGGGCTAGCTTAACAGGGGTTAAGAATCTCACATTTAATTCACTGATTACCAGTGGCATACTTGGCACTGATATCAATAATTATTCACTCAAATATTCAGATTTAAAAGGTGTGTTATAGAAAATAAAATTCAATCTTTTCTTATAACACTCATTAGTTCATTTAATTTGCTATCCGACGCACATAATCAGTTAGTTGCACTGTGTATCAATAAGACACATCATAAAATCGATGAAGCATAACCGTCAAGGCATTGAACGTGTCAACTAAATTCTCTGGCTACATTGCGCATGAAGTAATATAGTTAAGACTATAGGTAATCTATCCTGAAAGAGACGGTAAGAAAGATTGAGCAAGTCAAACTGTTGCTGCAACCGACAGTGTTTCAACCGATCGAGAAAGCGAATGACGTATTGCAACTCTAACACGCGAAGGGACTCTAACTCTCTCGCGAGTTCGCGACAACCGCATCAAAATGAAAGAGAAAAAGAGAGAAAGGAATGGAACAAGAGAAGAGGAAGATGAAGAAGAGAGACGATCGTCCGTGCCCTGAGGGTCATCGACATCGTAGGAACGCGAGCTGACCGGCGTTCGTGCTCATTTTCTTTTCTCAGTCCTTTTCTTTCTCCTTTTTCCTTCGCCACGCATCGAGTTGTCCATCCATCCCACTATTCCTTTATCGCTAATTTCGCGAGAATTGCTCACCCGACCGGACACGAACTTCGCGCGCGTCGCCCAGTCAATGTGCTCTCGCGTGAATAAGCTCCTTGCCCATAGCTATGGAAAATGACGAAGTGCTTTCTAATCGCGCGAAAAGCCACGTGTCAATATCGTTCAGACGTGATCGCAATCCTTTTGTTGGTGCAATATCGCTATTGAAAGTTCTGTGGCTGTTAACTCATTTAATGTGCCAATGTATCGGATATATTACGCGTATATTTCATTTTATATCATTTTAGAAATTATATTTCATTTTATACTATTTTAGAGTCTAAACTGCATGATCAGACAAAGTACCGATAGATAATGAATTAAATGAAAAATTATTATAATCTTTTCGCAGATTAATGACTTGACATCTTATTCAATGTTGAGTCTTATAAAAAATTATTTTAAGAGCAGTTTTTTTTTAAACTCTTCTAATTATCTAAATAAGATATAATATTAAATCAAAAATTCAAACATTTATTATAATAAATTGCTATATAATTGATTAACTCAAGTAAATAACATCAAATGTCAATAAGTCTAGCCATTGAAACTAACATATCTTAAAGAACAACGCCTAAAATTTATGTAAATAAAAGTTTACTCTCTAAATCTGAATCAGTGGATAGTCACTAATTACCCAGTGGCATACTTTGCACTAATAATCAGTGAAGTTCAACGAAAAAAAGGAAAAATGTTTGAGCATTATATAACTGAAATACTGATATTTACACATTAATTTCAATCTTCCAATATTCATTGAATTTAAGCACTAAAACAAGATTAGTCACAAAATAAAAATTAGCTAGGGATCTCAACTCTCACATTTAACTGATTACCAGTGACATACTTGGCATTGATATCAGTGATTATCCACTGATTCAGATTTAGAGAGTAGAAAAAATTGCTTTCAAAATAATTTTCTTTTTAAAGAAGATCCTAAACATCAAAGTGTGTATAAGAATGAAATTATCTATTAGCAATAAGATTGGAATGATTATTTTTCTGTTTCCAACTAATGTGAGAGTAACTTTAATTAATGCTTTCAGACACCGTATCAGCTTTTGTAATGTTTGTTTTCCATCAGCATGTAATCCACACTACGTGTTGCATTGCGATAGACAACCATACTGAACCTTACGGTTTGACTTCGCGTCTCGACGTCTTGACTTTCGCAAGTTATGTCGCGACCTTCCGTCGTAACCTTGGTACTCACCTGTCAAGTACCTTGCTTGAACACGCATGCCTTACGGTAACGCGCTCCATTTCCCTACGCCCGAGAGAACGGTGGCGACCTTCGCATTTATCTTTGTGGAGGCGGTGTTACATATAATATGCCGAAATGAGAACAAGCGATTAACAATGCAATCTAGCAAATCTACGATTTCACAAAAGATATACAATGTTTCCTCTTTACACACAAATTCATGTTCGCCTTTCTCTATTCTCAGCTATATATTTATTTGTACATACTAAGTAAAAATCTATAAATTGTATTCCGATGCGCACGTTTTATTTGTGTTAAAAGAAGACTCACTGAATCAATCTATGAATAAATAAAACGTTGACATTAATGCGATCGGATTGTATTAAAATTGATGGCAGCGGAGCATTCTGATGTAAAGAATGATAGTGTAAGTTAAACTTATTGTTAGCTTCTTTGAATAAAAACTACACTTCAGAAAAAAAAACCGGAGAAAGGAGGAGAAAGCACATGGACATCAGCATTGTCTACGTGAATTACATTGTCTATGTTGGTTACGGATAAACAGATAGTGCATAAAGTCTATACTTAGGCTATTACTATCTACGCATAGACACTGATATTCTCCTTTCATTTCACGGCGCGTACGTACGCACGCCGCCGCCGTTACGTTAATTATCGGTACAACATTCAATCCGCAGGCGAGCCGTGGCAATGAGTCACTTTAAAGTAGAGAGAATTAGACAAGTTGGCACAGCCGTTAGAAAGTGGCCGCGTGCTAGTGCCGCTCTGAAAATATTTGTTGATCGGTCAGGTTGCCGGATATAAAGCAGCGCAACGTACGCTGAAGCATCAGAGATTTCAATCAAACGAAATTTATTCCTATAGAGTTACAGAATGTCTCGGATTTATCTCATATCGAATTTACATACCGTTTTTCTATCCAAATGGATTCCTCGATTAATTTGATTAATTTAATTCGTGTCAAAAACTAAATTTTATTTCAAATTATTAAATATATATTTAGAGAAATTTTATAAAAAGTACAATTATAAGTGTATTTGATAAAAAATTAAAAGCTTTAGCAAAATAGAAATGTATTGTAAATAAAAAGTCAAATTTTATTTTTCATGTAAATTTTCATGTAATCTTTACGTTAAAAAAAAGTTTCATCTGATATATAAATTTAAGTTGATATTTATCCGCTTTAATATTTAACAATTAATAATTCTATATTCAAGATCATGTTAAATATTTCAAGATATTTTATAGTCATGAAATCTTAAGATATATATGTGATCAAAAAAAGACAATTATACAAAATTATGAATACATTTAGAGATTGGAAACTTGTTCTAATTAATAACTAGCTTTCACATGTACAAGAATTTTAAATGCTATTAAAGTTCGTCATAAAATTCATTCAAATTTCATCTAATTCTGATATAATATCTTTATATGCTATAACAGATTTACAGTCGTTTTTATGTTCCCCTATAAAAGAGTAGCAAGTTGAAGATAGAGAAAGCGAGCGTTTCAAGTGTCTATCAATATTTTTTTCAACTCAAGGAAATAAAAACATAATCTCTCTTCCTCATCTCATTAATTATACTGCAATAGAAAATATATTAAGATGTATACGATACGATTTATGATGAGATCCGTAATTAATCTGTTATTTAACTGTCCGCAACTTCGAGAAAAAAAGAAGACATCTGATGCCAGGGTCTTACCATACGGTATATATTACATTCTATTGCGCTTGCAGATGTGCACATTCGCACACTAATCATGACGTAAGCAATGACGATGTTTGTGCGATGCTGAATTAATGTTCATGGACATTTGACCTTGTCTTAATATGATTACTCTTTCGCTTATGCTTATTTTTATCTTCCAGTCTAAATTAATCTATTAAATAATAAATATATTTCACTGACATATTTTATTAATGTGCACATATTAGGTGTAGTAAAAAGAAATCCATTATTTTTCTATTCAATTTCATGCAAAAATAATGGATTTCTTTTTACTACACCTAATATTATAATCGGAATCTAATGATCTTAATAAAACAACATTTTGTACAATCAAGTACTCTTTGAGTAAAAAAAAATATCCTAGCCTGCTCCTAAAAGTATAACCGATTGCTTAATAATCAGCGAATGTTCACAGTTAACGAGTAACGTTATGTAACAGATCATAAATAAGAAAAAGTAGTAAAGTCCATGCGAGTCTGTAATCGCTGAAACGTGCTAATCCGTAGTGCCGCGAGAATATTGCAAGACCGCAATGCTTCTCGCGGTGAGAGCGTAGCGAGGCAAATAACAATGAGAAAGAAAAAGATATGAACTCACCCATCGCCGTCGAGAGTGATAGCGGTGTCTGCCAAAACTCGGAGTACGAGACCAACGGTCGCCCTGGCGTGGCAATCGATACCGAGAAGACAACTCTCTTCGGCGTCTTGCCTTCCCGTGCAGGAAACGACGACGAGATATCGCGTCCTTCCTGGATGCACCGACTCCAGTTTCACGGCCTGAAAGAAAGACATGAAGAAATCTCTGATTACTCATGACACAACTTTTAAAAGCTCGCAGATGGACATTTAAACGCTACTTACAAAGACCGACTACTTATAGAGACCGATTTGTAAGCTTACTAAGTTATTCGTCGATGTGCATAAATTATCTCTGTTAGATACAATATATTTGAAAATGTAATATAATGTGACAAATGTTTCTTCGAAATTCTATAAATTAACATTAGAACGGAAGGAATAATTATTTTTCATTTATCTTACTATTTAAATGTGTTTTACATTGAAAATATTTCCAAGACGAATTATCTCGTTTTTATTGACTTATATTTTTTCGATGAAATTTCTGCCATATCTAAACATGACATTATTTGCGAAGAGAAATATATCTGCTAAATGCCAGAATATGCATTAAATAATTTTAGAATATGAAAAAAAATCACTATTAAATATGCAAAAGAAGTACAGATCTTCTAATAAAAAATAATTCTAAAGATAATAATTCTTAGAAATATACGAAATTATATAGCATCACAGTACTCAATTGTAGCATCGTTTACTGATTTCTGTATGATACTACAAACACTGCCTTCCAGGGTTAACGACATTATAGGCAAGTAATGTTACATAACCAGCTCATTGACTTCGCTTCCGTTTGATTGGCTGCTTCCTGTTTGTCGATATCGGTATAATATAATATTATTTGCTTTTTTTTCATAAAAATAATGTACATATGATAAATGTATAAACAATTATATGAGGAAATATAAGTAAATTACCTATACAAGTCTCCGCGATTATTAGATCGTTAAAAATATATCTTATCGCTTTAAAATTATATTATTAAGGCACTAACAAAAAAAACTATATTCCAAGAATAAATCAGATATAATTAAATTAAATGAGCTTTCGCGGTTATTAGAGTGCGTTAATAATATATTTATAAAGCAAACAGATATGATTTGACTGGAATGTACCAACCATTTTTTAATAACCATTTTCTAACAATTTCAATTGGAAATTATATCTTATCGTCATATATGATTATATTATTAACGTACTAACAACCACGAAAACTCATACAATTTACCTATATCGAATGTAAATTAGATATAGGTAAATTGTCTGTATTTTTATTCATTAGTTATTAAATTGTTTTTTAGATACTGTTTATGTGAAAATTTTGATAAAAATAATTTTTCATTTTAATAAAACAATACTAAATAATATAATTAAATTTCCGTAACATCAGGATAACGAATATTTTGAAATTCTTAACACCGTACATATATTTTAATATTATACGATTTAATATTAACAAAATAATTTTGTAACTCTAAAAATAATATTAAATAATAAAATAATATAAATCATATAATATTAAAATGTATATACGATGTCAAGAATTTCAAAATATTCATTATTTTGAAATTCTTGACACCGTACATATGTCGTATATTATGGAAATTTAATTATTCGTATTGTTTTATTAAAGTGAAAAATTATTTTTATCAAAATTTTTGCAAAATTTTTGTAAAAAAGTATCTAAAAAAGAATTTAACGACTAATGAATAAAAATCTTAAAAGAAATGTTTTGTGATAATGTTTTCATTATATTGTAAAATAATATCACAAAAACGAGATTAAATATGTTAAAAGTACATTGATTTCTATTCGCAATATTTAGTATTTCTATATATATATTTATTAGTCTCGTATATAAATTAGAATTAATAAGAGAAATTAATGTATAAGGATTAAACGGGTATTGGTTAAGCAGCAAACATACTCTTATACTAGAAGTTCCAGGATGAAACTCCACGAGAGAATTCCCGATCAGGCAGAATGTTCACAATAATTCGCTCGATTAAACGCGAATGTATCATTCGCAGTGATCTCTACTTTGAAACGGTTAAACACGTTTCCGCAACGAATGATGCATTCGATGCTCTCACGGGTAGACTGTTTAATTACTTTCACCGATCCATCTCTTATCTCGCATCAGTGAGAATTCAACTTAGCTACCGTGGATCGAGAGAACAGCGGCTAAGAAAACGACACGAATTACAAGAAATCACACACATGAATGCAAAAAGGAGTAGCAGCGATGCCCCGGTCTTGATTATCTTGGACGTAGTCCTTGATAAACGTACCGGAGTTTGCTGATTACGGAGCACGTCCACTTTTATGAGTTGATCGCGACTCGATTGCAACTGTTACTGCAAATACAACGACTGGAGCAGACCCTCGAGTACAGGAGCGTCGGCCCATGAATTTTCGCAGCATGTGATGTGGCAATTAACGCTTCCGCACTCCCTAGAAAGAATTCCAACCGCGATAACAGACCGGATTTTGTTTAGTGATTACATCGCGGGCCGGCGCACTCGGCAAATACGCTTTTTCTCATTCAGAGGAAAACTGACACGCGTATTAATCGCGTATCCGGTGCATTCGCGCATAACGCATTTGCAGGCAATAAATGATGAATGTAGAACCGTGCTCGGAGTTAATTAAATTTCAAATATCAATATTCGATAACGAGAATAATCAGTGTGTTCCTAGGAGAGATTTGGAGCAAAAAGAAGAAAATACTGTAAGAGATATTTATCCTTTTACTCTCCTAATAAGAATAAATGATTGTAATTACTTACAAATACCAAATAATTCTATTTACTTTCCATATCATTATGCCTTGTATTTTGTTTTCTAATTATTTTGAATATCATATACTTAAATATTACAAGTATAATATTAATGACATAAAATATTATTTAATTAAAATTATGTATTCTTAAATGTTTTAAATAAAGCTCTTCATCAATATTACGTATCTGAAATATTATTTAATAATAAATATAAAAAATATTCTTCAAAAAATCAATCATAATTAAGTTTTATCGATAATATATTTTCCGCCATAAAAATAATTTCATTTTAATATGCTTAGAAGTAGTATTCAATGTTAGAATTATAATTTAATATACTTTTAATATTTCAATTTGCATTTATGATTTACGGTAATATAAATATAAAAATTAAAATATTTTAAAACATAATTAAATGAATATATTGAAGAACCTCAACGATACATTACAAATGCAAAGATAAGAACTAAAGAAAAATAAGAGTGTGCGAATATAAATAAAATATATAAAAACGAGAAAAATAAAAAATATAAAGTATAAAAATTTTATTAAACAAGAAGCAAGAATTATAAAAATTTCTTCTGCACTACATCTTATACTTCTTGTCTATGATTAAGAAAATTGTCGACACTAATTCTGGTACATTGAGTATTCACAATCCTATGCATCTCTCAACACAGCTACAGAAGATTTCTCGTTTCAATGATTATGTACAGTTTTAATCAACATGTAACTCTTAGCAGAGCTGCAGATTTCTCATTTCTATTCGTAAGAAGGAAGTAGCCCCTTAGTGCATAGGACACGATAACCGTAGTCATGATTTGTTTGTCATTGAACCGTTTCGCTTGTTCCGCCATCAGTCATCGAGTGGAACGATTTCCCGATCGCGATTAATAACGCCATGATTACATGATCCGCTCATCCGTACGCAAGCCTGCTTCGGAAAGAGACACGCCACAAAATCGCAAAAAAGATTCCCCGCAAAAGAGAATCCAAGAAAGTGAAAAAACGGCGAAAGTCTTGACTAAGAATCTAGCAGAAAGGGAAAGTCTTCAATATAAAAATTGTCCTTCCGATAAACGCTAATTTTAAGTGATAATAATTATTAATTAGAAAATGTTTCTCGTACGCTGACCCGACGTTATTTGCAAGACTGGAAAGCTTCACTTTCATTAATATATTGTAGCCAAAACGATCCATCGCGAGAAACGCGCGTTTAGAAACGCCTTGCAAATCGTTTGATAAGAATTGCATAAGGTCATAATTCGGCGTCGACTTAGCTTTTTAAATGCCGGCGATGGCGTAACGCAGACACTTGGATGTATCATGTGGATAGTTACATTCCTGGGCCTACAATTATATCGTCGTTAACCTCAATGAATAGATAATTACCTATCTACAGTCCTTATCTACAGTCCTTATGAGACGCCATAAACCACGCGTTCCTTCCATAATTGTGATAATCATCAGTGGCGAGCGACAGAATGAATAAAATTAAAACATTATTCTTGTGCAGTTGAAAGTATTCGTTGCGAATTATGTTTAGAACTGTATTTAGGACAAGAGATCTCTTGCAGCAAAAATTTCTTGGTTCGTAAAATCATTTAAACTTTTGCTAGAAACTGATGCAGCAATAATCGATCTAAATAATGCAATTTAATTTATCGATATATATCTCATATTTACAATTTATTATATCCTGTAATTAAAATTTAACTAGGATACAATTTAGGTCAGTTTTATTTTTACATTTGTAATTATACAGTAAATTAAATTTACAATTTTCTAAAATAAGAAATAATGCTAGCTAAAAAAGAGAGAAATGATAACGTTAAATATTTCTTCACTTTGACTATATAACTGCACAATTAAAGATGGGAAAGTTCATTATTTCTTCGAGTAAAAAAATCTGAAATTGATATCATCTCCTTTTCATATAAACGTACTTATAAACGATCACATTAAGTGCTGTTTTTAATTAGTCGTAGACTTGAAGGCACGTCGCACACAATTTCTCAATTTGCTTGCCTGGCATTTCTCTACGTATGCATTTAAGTTGGTTGTTACGACCGAATGATCAACTACACGGAGCGAGTAACGGGCTTCGTCCATCAATCACATATAATACACTCGATGGTACAAAAGGTCGAATATCAAACCAAGTTATAATTAACACGATTTGATTCAACTCACACAGTTGTTGCTATATTGAGCAATTGGAACCAGAAACTTTCAAATGTCAAATTAAAATGATACTAAATTATTTATGATTATAAAGAACTGCACAAAATAAAAGATATTGACGCAAACTGTTATTTAAATAAGATATTAATTTATTATTTCTTTAATTCAACT